TTTCATTATTCTAGTGTGAGCTACAAAAGAAAAATGCTTTCCTATCTGTGCTCCCTGGAATTTTTGTTCACATGGAATTGTGCTGACTGTATTTTTGGTATACGTATTTTTCTATATTACACATCCATACATGCACACAAACTGTATATCCTTCCTTACCAGCCTGTGTAGTAACTCAGTGTAAGGGCTACATCTTCTTTATTTCCTGTTCTCTAATATGAGATGTAAAATAAGTGTAGTGTATATTGAAATATAGGGTCAAATATTAAAATAAATTTTAGAAATTTATTTTAAAGTCTCATGCTATTTTTAAAATGTGCTAGTTTTTGTACTACAACTTTCATAAAGTTAATAGTCTCTTTGCAAAAAAATAATGGAACCTTCATCATATTCTCTGAAGCTTCCAAGAGACTTGTCATGATTCTTTATGGTGCACTGATACACCTTATCCTGAAGATCCATTAATCTAGGAAAGGGGTGAGGTGGGACTAACAATGCCCAGGTGGATTCAGGCATCACCATTGCCTAGAGAACATGCTGAAATCGTAAATGCTTGAGAGAGATTACAGTTCACATATAATGAAAAATATCAACATGATGTCTAAATGCTTAATTATAATGTGAGCTATTTAACTGAGTTGCATTGTGATAGTTGCAAATGAATTCCTTAAACTATAAGAATATTACATTGTAATCCTTGTGATGCTGCATATATTTAAAACTCATAAAGGGTTTCACATCTATTGTGATGATTTGAATCCATATCAAAACCTGGATGGCTGAGAAATGAACCATGGTAAGTTTGTTTTGTTGTCTAGACAAACATGGGTTTTCTCATTTCCAGACTTTGTCCAGATCATGGCAAAATGTGCCAACCAAACCACGAGAACATCTTGTGATAGTAAATAAAAAGTCACAGCAAAATCTTAAAAATATATTAAATCAGGCCAGATGTAGAAAGGTTTTGTTAAAATGTCAAAACAATAATGCAAAGAAATAGTTAGTTCCATTGTTTGAATAATAGTTAAACTTTTGACATTAAAATAACATGAAATAATAAGATTGAAGGATAACATAAACTCCCTCAAGAGAAAAAATATTAAAGCAAGGATTTCATACATTTAATTGCAACATGTTTCATTTCATACCTTATAATAAAATTATGTCCTATCAGAGAATTCTAAAGCTCTTTATTTACATACCTTTATTAGGCAAATTAACAAAGAATACTATTTTCAAAATGGTCTCATATATAACAATTTTTTAATATGAAAAAGTATCAATTTTTTGAATTCTAATGTATTTATTATAATTTAAGATATCCTCAATGATTTCTAAAATTTAGCTTTTGCAACCTAGAAATTTGGTTGTAATTATCTCTATTTCCTAGTTCTATTGACTGAAATTTCTAATAAAAGAAATTATTATTTGTTTCATTATATTCTTCAAATTGGTTCAAGGTTTTCATTAAATTTTGTATAGAATGAAATAACTCCTTACATGCCAAAATGACCTAAATTTCCTATATAATTTTTCCCTTTATTCTGTGTGTGATATATTCCTGTCCTAATCTGTATTTGGTTAGGGGAACACACCATTTATTTCTGCTATCATGGTGATATTGCGGTCTCTAATAAACATTTAAAGGTATTATGTTTAATTTTAAGGATTAGAACTTCAATCAACAGTTTCTAGTAGAAGAATATTGCTTTGTTTTCTTTACAACATGCTGAAACTTGTGGTAACTTTTCTTTCCTTCCTTCTTGAAATGAGAAAGAAGAGCTTTAATTTTCTTACTATCATTCCCCTGTGCAGGCTCATTTGTGTGAGAGACAGACAGGCAGGCAGAGGGAGACTCACACTGTAAATAGCATCGGGTGCAAAGCTTAAATTCATCAATACATAATCAAGAATTGTGTGGCAATATATACAAACATTAAATATTTTAAAGAGAAGGCTATGATATAGTAAGGGTTACATTTTTTAATACAGTCCTCTCCTTTATGGTATTAGCCATTGTGTTCAAATCATTTTTCCTTGAAAATTCTTTTCCCAGTACCATTTTATAACACAGTTTTCATCATTACCTGAGCATTGTCTCCATTCTCTCTGGACTGACCTTTGAAACCTCAGATTAATCTTTTTGTGATACTCCATTTATTTCAATTTCTATTATTTCAACCCTGCTCTCCATTTTTCTGTTGCCTTCAGGCCAAATCAGGGATCTTTAGAAAGACAGGAACCTTAATCAGCCGCATGAAACAATGTATGCCCCCATCTTCATTTATAATCTTATTCCTGATTATTTACTAGTTATCTTCTCTAGCCAAAAAATATTTCCACTTTTGCACTCATCTTTTCTCTCTAATCCTATTCATCTTTCAATGTCCCAGCTTTAATGGCTGTCAAATGAATCCCCTGAGAACCTGGTGGTGTGAATTAACATCTACTTTGTTCACTAATTCGATGGGTTAGGAATTTGAATAAGGTATGGGAGTACTTTTGTCTTTGGCCCATTGTGCCTGAGGTCTCAGTTGTAGAGCTTGAGTTCTGGAGCCTAGTGTCTCCTGAACACAACTTCAGTCACAAATTCAGGGGTCCTCAGCTGTTGACTGGGAGCTTCAGTTCCCCTTCACAGAGGTTGTCCATTAGGGCATTGTCTCCATGAGGCCCCTCTACATAGATGAGTTTGAGCTTTCTCAGGGCAGGTTGGGAGATTTTTCCAAGGTGTCTTTTCCCACAGAGTAAAGTACATGGAAGCTATATCCCTTTTTTTTTTTTTGTCTAGCTCCAGAAGTCACACAGTATTATTTCCACAATACTCTATTGGTTGGAAAAGTTACAGGTAACCCAAATTCAAGGGGGAGAATAAATAGAATCTAGTTTTTGATCCATTGAGGTGAGAACCACATGGAGCTGGGAATATTATTGAGGCTATTTCAAAAACGGCATGCTATGCCACAATCAAAGACCTCAGTATATAGTCCCATAGCCTCTTTTAACTTTCATAGGCTTGTAAGTCACACCAACCTCTCAGTATTCTGAACTCTGATAATCTTTATGCTCTCATTAATGATCTATATATGCTTTGAATTGTTAACTCTTCATGTGTACCAGCTATGCTACACATTACTTCAGTGCATGGATTTCAGTTTCTCACAGGAAAATACAATCAACTTTTGTATTTCCCACAGAGTCTAGAATAGGGTTTTAGATACAGTCAATGCTCAACAGTGTCTGAATTAAAATCAGATCAATTTAGAATGATGAGAAACTTGGTTTTTACACATCATCAGTGAATATGGTAGACTCTTTGTAAAGAATGTAGTAGTGGTGTGGGGAAAAATGGATAAGCTACCTTAGAAATAAGTGAGCAAGAATCTTGTTAAGCACAAATAATTGCATTTGGATTGAAGTAATCAGTAAGGCATGATGGCCATCAGAGGTATTGCTCTAAACCTTAGATTTAATTTTAAATTTAAAACGTATTTAAATTTTATTTAATCAATCCAAATTATATTCATTCAAAATATTAAATTTATGTCTGCTGATCTTTAACTGATTGTTGAAAAGACCAATAGACCAGACTGAATATTGTAATATTTTATACTTTTAAAGTGTATATATATATATATACATATTAAGATGAAAATTATATATATTTTGGTTAATTTATTGTTTATAAATTGAAAATAATCCATTATCATTATAACAAGCCAAGTGTCCTAGTCATTTTTCCATTGCTGAGACAAAATACCTGACACCTGCACCTTAAAGTGGGGAAGTTACTTTGGCTCATGGTTTCAGTGAATGATCAGCTGGTTCCAAGGCAGAAAAAGCATGGCAGAGGGGCCTGGTTGAGGAAGGGCACTTACTCCATGGCAGCTAGGATGCAGAGAGAGAAGGAGGAGCCAGGGACAAGAATACACCTTTCTAGGTCAGGCTCCAGTGACTACCTCCAACCAGACTCCACCTCCAAGCTCAGGTACTGAGCTCACCCGCTGATACACCCACTAATGAGTATAGCACCCCCAAGATCCATTCACCTTCCAAACACAAGAGACTTCTGAGGAACACTTTAGATTCAAACCATAACATCAAAAACACCAGCCTTCTGCTTTTCATCTTCATTGAGCTTACCAGTTTGGGTTCAGTGTATATTTACACAGCTTTCTCCATGCTCATTTTGTATATTAATATTGTTAATATATTATTCCTTATATGAATATGTTGTGCATGCCATGATTTATTATCCTTAAATACACTAGCATCATGGTATGTCAATTGTAATTTTTCTATGTGCTGATTATGGGATGTGATTCTCAGTTACTGCTTTAAGAGCATAATTTATAGTCTCTGTGAATTTGATATTTTAATTCAAAGTTGATTTTTAAAATAGCTTCTGAAAATAAAGTTTTGACAATGTGAGATAAATTTTGGTGCTAAGTACTTTGTCTACTATATTTATTTCTGCATTTATGAGAACAGTGTAATCTTAAGATTATACTTTATAAATCATTATATCTGTTAACTGAAACAATTGCACTGTCCAAATAACATGCGATCAGCATTGTTCATTTTTCTAGTGGAAATAAGTAATTTATCTCTTACTAACCATTATAAAGTGATACGCTGAAAATGATTTACATGTAAAATTTTTATGTGGAAGATAAATACATAGTATTTTGGCTTTTAAAATCTTCCCACTGTTAGGAGAGTGAGAGAATAAATGCTCATCAATTGAAAATAGTAGAGTGCTACCTGAAATCACTCATTTAACCTGATCCTGTTAGGTGAATTAGTTAAGCTCACATATAGTTATGATGTATTTGTGACATTGGGAACTATTTTTTTAAGTTACATTGGTATAGCTTTGTTATTTCAAACATTGATTTGTAGTAGATATTTGCATATGTAACTAAAAATCAACTGAAAAAGCAAATAACATGTTCGACAGAGTATTCAGTTACATATCCATATGTAACTATTATGTATTTAAGATGGCTGATCATGCTGAAGTGATGAAAGGCATCCATTGTTATCCTGGCTTTTGATACCCTGTCCTTACTCCAAATCTTCAGGGTTTTCTCCATGCTGTAAGTGTGCTCCTAGTTTCTCTAAAACTGGTCTGCTTCTTATTGTCTTACAGACCTTAGAAAGTCAGTATGGTATCATATACAACTCATGTATCTTCTTATCGAAACACTGTGGTAATTATACTAACCTGAATACACAGCAATGAGTACTCTCACAGCACTGCTGGGGACTGCAGGGCTTCGTATCAAGCACTCTTCCAATTTAATCATTCAAGGATTAAAACATAGTTCTAATAAAGATGGCAGAGTGATGGGAAGCAGAGAAATAGCCTCTCTGAGATTTGGTGTCCAGACAAAAAGAGAAGAAGGGAAGTGGGTCCCCAGGACCCAGGATGGATCTGAAATGAGAATTGAAGCCCACAGAGAGAGCAAAGAGAGAGACCTCAATGCAGAACAAGAATGTGGCTTTCTCTCTGCGCCCTGACTCCTTATGTGTAAAGGGCAACTTGAACCTGCAGACACATGATGACTGCTAGTGACCCCAAAGGCCTCCACAGAAAAATGCACCAGTGGACTCAGTGGACTACAGTGGCTGGTGATTTATTCAGGTTCAGGTGTCCCCTAGGAGCATTTCAGTAGCCACCTTGGAGAGGGCTCAACTGAGCTTTGGACTCAGAGCACCTGCCAGCTCCATCTAGTGGCTCCCAGGGCCCAAGTGACCCTGCTAAATTTGAGTCAGCAGGAGGCCAAAAATCTGAGTTCAAGCCAGCAGGAGACACATGTAGTGTTACAGACTGAACAAATCACATTCCAGCCTCACAGCCAGAAACCAGCCTGAACTTTAGTAGAACTAAAGGTGCAGGCTTGCTGGGATTATCCACTACCCAACCCCCATAAAGCTACACCTGGCTTCCTGGGATTAATCAACATAAATCTGGACTTCGACCATTTTGTCTACCAGTGACAGCAGAGATATGACTTGAAGTAGAATTTTTTTTTCTTTTTCTTTTCTTTTCTTGTTTCTGTTTTGTTTTTTTCTTGATTTTTCTTGTTTTTATATGAGTATGAAAATGGTTTCTAGTTATTTTGTTATTGCTGTTTTGTTCTGTTTTTGTTTTATTTCTTCCATCTCTCTTTCCCTCCTGCCGTCTTCACCACTTTCCCAAAGTTCACATAATCTTCCTCCAGCCTTGCTTCTGATTTATTCCTCCTCTTTTATTTCTTTATTTTTTTTTTTGCTCCTAACCCCTTTTAAATTTTCTTCCCTTAGGGTAAAATTGCCCTACTGAGGGCTTATTTAATCTGCAAAATTTTCTGCTTTGTTTTAGAATTTGTTATATAACCATAAATTTAGTTCATATGGTTAAATTAATAGCTACCACAGTTTTTCATTTTCTAGGCTCTGTTTGATTCTATTGTTATAGCTGGTTGTACTACTTTAGCTAGGGTGACATAATTGTTGTAATCAGTTGTTCTGCCTGGTATATCAATGAGATTGCCTAGGGGTCATAAACAATTCTGTGGGCAAGTGCCAAAGAGCTAGGGGTTAGATCAAATAGGCAGCAACTTTTTGTCTCCATTAAATTGAAGAGATAGAATATTGCAAAAGACTCAAAACCCAAAAGCTAGCTATACCTGGAAGACATATCTGAGAAGTAGTTATTTCATAAGGGATCTAAATACTAACAATAAAGCTACTCACCATAAGCAATTTATAAATATCTACCCGGGGATTAATTTTTTTAAAAAATACAAAATAAGAAGACACTTAAGCAAGATACAACTCTAGACTTCTAGATCACTAAAGGCAAACATAGGGGGCAATGTGGTGGAGCAAGTTGAAAACCGCCTACCTGGACTCTCTGAAGTGGAAACAACAGAAGTAACAAAGCAGCTTAATGAGGCTCTAGAAAAAATCAAATAAAAAGTAATTTCTCAAATAGCTACAGACATGATGACTATAGTGAAAACATGGTTAGTAACTCTAGAGCAGATAGAGATTTTAAAAAAAATAGAGGTGCTTAGAAAAATGATGGAAACCAGGAATGCCCAACATAGGAAAAAAATGAAATCCATGAAACAGATTCAAACAGATATCCAGGAGATTAAAAACTCCATTGAAAGTACATGAGCAGAATAAGCCAATGTGAGGGCAGAAAATCAGATAAAGAAGGCAGGATTGTTGTTAGCTATCATGAAAAGAAAGATTTCTTAAAAATAGCAAGGGACAATGAAAACTCAATCTAATAGCTACTAGATGATGCAAAGAAGAATAACATAAGATTGATCAGAGTCAATGAAAAAGCAGGAGATAGCACAAGTGACATCAAAAACCTGTTCACAGAAGTAATGGCAGAAAACTTCCCAAACAGAGAAAAGAATTTAAAATATAGATAAATGAGGCATAAAGAACTTCAATTAGCCATGATAAAAACAAACTATACCATGGCATATAATGGTCAAGATTCAAGAAATTCAACACAAGATCAGAATATTAAAAGTTGTTAGAGAAAAGAAATAAATCACCTATAAAGGAAGCCCTTCAGAATTACTGCAGACTTCTCCACAAAAACCTTCATACTGAGGGCTGATCAGAACCTCAACTACTATTTGAGAGGAATGACAAGGAATAAAAAGAAATAGGCAGAGAGAGTTTTCAAAATATAAAGTAGAGACTCAGGAGGAGACCTGCATCGAGTGGACAGACTTGAATAAAACTCTGAAGATGGCCTGCTTTTATTAGCCAGTGAGAAGCACAGTGGGAGGGGTGGCATGCATTTCATGGAACAGCAACTATAGAGACTGGATGGATAAGGATTAAATTAATGAGGGACCAAATTTTCTCTACACCCAAATGCCTGTATATTGACGACTATCCTCAGCAGATACTCTCTTACCTCAGGAGTGCCAGGTTATCATTCAGCTCATAGCCAGGTGGCATGCAGCCTTCTTCATACCTCCCTGTTACCAACGCAAGGTAACACCAACCTAGAAACTGTGAGATCTGAGTTACATAGCCTAGGCCCCAACACCCTTAAGTCAAGGAGAGCTTGAAGTGATGTATTTCAAGATCCAAAGGAAAACAACCTCTAACCCAGGTTGATGTACCCCACAAAACTATCTTGCAAAATTGTTGGAGAAATAAGATATTTTGATGACAAAGAACACCTAAAGAAATTAATGACCACCAAACAAACACTCCAAAATATTCTGAAGGACATTCTAGAAAGCGATAACAAGGACTACTCCTCCATGAACTCCAATAGAATGAATTCACCAGGCAAGGCTAGTAATTAAACAGAGAGGAAAAAAAGGGACCCAATAACAGGAAAACAACAAGGAAAAGTCAATATATATCAGTTATGACTATCAGCATTAATTCACCAATAAGAAGAAACAGACTGGCAGAATGGATCAAGTAGCAGGATCCAACAATATGCTGCATACAAGAAACACATTTAACTCAAAAATAAATTGACAGACTGAAAGTCAAAGGATAGAAAACAATACTCCATGTGACAGGACCCGGAAAAAAGCAGAGGTAGATATTTTATTTGCAGACAAAATGGATTTCAAGCCAAGACTGATTAAGAGAGACAAAGAAGGCCACTACATCCTTGTTAAGGGAATAATCCATGAAGGAAGAGGTGATGATCATAAATATATACACACCAAATACTAGTGCACCCAACTATATAAAACAAATATTAATGGACATGAAATATTAAACAATAATACAATTATAATAAGGGACCTCAATATTCCACTGTCACAAATAGACAAATCAACTAGGAAAAAAATGAACAATGAAATTCTAGAACTGAACCAAGCTATTGAACAAATGGACTTAATAGATGTTTATAGAGTGTTCCACCCCACAAAATCAGAATACACATTCTTCTCAGCTGCACATGGGAAATTCTCCAAAATAAACCACATATTAGCTCGTAGAGCTTGCTTAAGTAAATGCAAAGGAACTGAGATTATCCCATATATCTTATCAGACCATAGTGCATTGAAATTTAAATCAATGGCAAAAGAAACCACAAGAACTTCATAAACACATGATAATTAAATACACCCTCCTGAACAACCAATGGGTCACAGATGAATTTAAAGAAGAAATTAGACAATCTCTACAATTAAATGATAATGCTAATAAAACATACTAGAACTTATAGGATATAATAAAAGCAGTCCTTCAAGGGAAATTTATAGCAGTGATCTCCCACATCAGAAAAACAGAGTAAGTTCAAATAAACAACCTAATGTTGAACCTTAAACTTTTAGAAAAAGAACAGCAAGTCAAGCTCAAAGCTAACTTTTAAAGCTCTTATGAGGGAGGAAATTATAAAGATCAGAGCAGAAATTAGTGCAACTTGAGACTAAGAAAACAGTAGAAAGGCTCAATGATTTGAAGAATTTATTCTTTGAACAATTAAGTAAAAGTGACAAACAGCCAATCTTATCAAAAAAAGGAAAGAAAGACTCAGATTCATGTAATTAGCAATGAAAAGGGCGAAATCACAACAAATCCTGTGGAAATCCAGAATATCATCAATAACTACTTTGAGAATCTGTATTTTAGTAATATGGAAAACACAGAAGAAATGGACAGATCCCTAGATAAATATGAATTTCCAAAGCAGAATCAAAAATACATAAAAATTACAAATAAATCAATATTAGTCAATGAAATTGAAGTTGTAATTAAAAACCTACCAACAACGACAAGCCTAGGCCATGATGGATTCACTGTTTAATTCTACAAGAAATTTAGAGAATATCTTAGCAGATACTTCTCAAATTCTTTAATGAAATTGAAAGGGAAGTAATACTCCCAAATTAATTCCTAGAAGCAAGCATCATCCTGATACTAAAACCAGAGAAGGAGTCAACCAAAAGAGAGAACTACAAGGCAAACTCCCCAAGGTCATAGAAGCAAAAATCCTTAATAAGATACTGGCAAACAGAATGCACCAAATCATCAAGTAGATTGTTCCAGAAATCTCAGAAAGAAAGACAGGGAGACACAGAATTCAAGTAAAATAATAAAATTTCTTCTCACCAGCGGGTGGGAATGCCAGAAACCGGTCTGGTTAGTATCCATGCCCCTTTGTTCAGTGTTTCCCTTTTTATATCCTTTTTAGCCGTTGTCTCATCCCTAGTGGTCTTTGATGTGTAAATACAATTTCAGTTCCTATTTATAAATCACAGACACAAGATAGGCACATATACATTGTAAATTCACCCTGGCATGGTAACTGTTAGGTTAATGAAGTTACTGGTTAAAGAGTCAGATTACCTTCACCATAAACAAGGAGAGTTATGGGAAAAGCAAATCTTAAAAGAACACTTTACTTATTTTGATTCTACAGCTACCTTAATATTAAATCCATTAAGTTATCTAAAACTTTTCCCTATCAAGATTACACATCATGACCAAGTAGATTTATCCCAGGGGTCCAGGTTCAACATACACAAATCCATAAATATAATACTCCATATTAGCTCTTTTTTTTTCTTTTTTTGTGGTACTGGGGCTTGAACTTTGGACCTTGTGCTTGCAAGGCAGGCACAATGCCACTGAGCTAAATCCCCAGCCCTTGTAATACCCCATATTAACAGAGCCATGCACAAAAACCACACAATTATCTCAATAGATACAGACAAAACATTTAACAAAGTTCAACAATCATTCATGATAAAAAACTACAGAAAATTGTAATAGATGTTCTTTATCTCAATCTGATAAACTCATCTATGACAAATCAACGGCCAACAGATACTAAATGGACAAAATATGAAAGCTTTCACTCTAAAATCAGGAACAAGATAAAGATATCCACTGTCACCACTTGTATTCAATATAATTCTGGAAACATTAGCTAGAGCAATTAGATGATAGAAAAATTAAAAAATTAAAAAAATAAAGATAGGAAAGAAATAAGTTAAGAAAGTGATAAACATTTTGACAGATTTTTGCCTGCTTTTTGATTTCTTCCTCCATTTAAGTGAAGCTAATCTATGTCCTCATATCTGCTTCTAATGGCTTTCTCTATTCTTCTTCTAGTTCCGTTGTTCTGCTCTTGTATGATTTAAAGATTTATATGATATAAATAAAAGCCTTAATGATTACACATGCAGGAAAAATAATAAAATTTTAAGTAAACACTTGCAATATTATGGTTATATGGGATTATGGCAAAGGTTGTGTAGTAGCCACTTCTAGCATTAATATTTTTCATTTCTCTTTAGATTTTATTACATAAAGTTGAGGCTGTGGGATGCTATTTGGATTATTTGTTAATGCATATGTTATTAGAACAATTTATTTTTTCTTTTGTTTAAATGGTGTAATTTTACTGTATTATAAAGAAAGAGGCATTTTAAGAATGTGTAACTATTGCTGTTGTCCTGTTCTAACACAGTAGGGAATGCCTGCAACCTTACAAAGATATGAAGAAGACATCTTCATGATAGTTTAGAAAGGCAAATAGTGGCATGGACCAAATTTTGGATTAGGAATCAAGCAGCTCAAAATACAGCTCCATAACTGACACTAACTGTGTGAGTGTGCAAGCTAATTCGCTTACTAGCCCTACTACATGCTCATCTATAGAGTGGGCATCATAGAACTTAGTTTTAGTGCTGTTTGTGACATGTAAAGGACATGTAAAGTACTAATAACAGTACTGGCAACTAGTAGGTGTTCAATAAACATAATTTTATTTTAAAGGTGCAAAATTTACTTTGGATAGAGATATAGAAACTAATACTTTTTAAATGTTGGAGGAAAGGTGACAGAATAATTTCTTTTCATATTGTATTGGTAGGATATCACTGACAGGGATGGAGGAAACTTAGGCCAAGTGCTAGTGACATTAACAGAAGATCTTGAAAATCTAGGTTTGACCTTTGAAAACGAGTCACTGGAGAAGCCTGAGGGAGGACAAATGGGGCAAATGGGAAAATGTATTTGATTGATATTTTGGATTTAAAGACTGGCAGGAGCATGAGAGCCTTAGGCACACAAGAGGATGGCTGATGGTGTTAGGCTATGAAACATTAGGAGCTAAGCATAAAGATGGGAGAAAAGTTTTGGGCAAAATCTAAATGATGAATTGGAAAAATATTTTTCTGTTGGGTTATAGGAAGAGAAGAAAAATAGCATTTCCTAACCTCTATTTTAATAGATGGTTGGAAAATGTTTTCTATGAAAATAAAGGTTTTATTGGGGTGTAAATATTTTCTATGATTAGGGTTAAAGTATTTCTGAGAATAACAAGTTGAAAGTCAAAACTAAATTGGAACATTGTCACTGTGTTTTCTGTGTCTCCTAAGATCGATGTGTGTTACAATTTGTGAAATTATTGTTATTATAATTTTTTCCATTTTGAAAGCATTTATGTGGCAAGATGAGAAGGTAAAATTTAAAATTTTAGGCAAATGTTAAAGAACTTAAGCATACCTTTATAGAGTAATCTTCTGCTATAATTTACACTTGAAATTTTTAGCATTTGGTTTAAAATTATACCTTTCAGGTTGCTGCTGGAGCCACTGAGATATCAGTTTTTGGTGCTGCATCTGAATCCTTTTGCAAGAAGAATATTAACTGTTCCATTGAAGAAAGTACGGGAAAATTTGAAGAGGTCATTAAATCTGCAAGCCAAATGAATATTCCAGCACGAGGGTATTTAGGAAATTCCACACATTCTCTTCCATTAACATTCATTGTTAAAGCTTACTTATATAATATCCTTGTTCCTTTTACAATTCTTAAAAATATACATATGGCATCCTATTTGTACCTTATTAGGAAAATCACTATATGAGTTGCGATAAAAAATACAGTGATTACTCCTGCAGACAGCCATTCAGTTGGAAGATAGGGACGTTCACTAGGAGAAGTGCAAACCTAATAACAGTGTTGACAAATTTCAACTAGTTTGGCACAGTCAGCTTTGGGCTGTGGTTAAAAGAAGGTGTATTTTAAAGTGTGCCATAAATTAAAGATCAGGAACAGTGTATTTCACTGGAGTTGCGTGATCTTGCTTCAGATTCCAGCTTTTTAAGAAATGTCATCATGGGAGATGGACCTTGGAACTATGGCTATGATCCCAAGACCAAGGTTCAGAGCTTTCAGTGGAAATCAGCCAGTTCTCCTCCTGTAACAAAAGCACATCAATCTAGATCCAACATCAGGGTGATGTTGATTGTGATTTTTGATCTTGATGGAATTGTGCAGGTTGATGTGTATCCAGGAACACTACAGTGAACTCTGAAAATTATAACGGCTATTAGAGATTTTAGGAAATCATGTGCATAGAAAATGGCCTGAGAAATGGCAGATGACTTCATCCTTTACCATGACAATGCTTCATTTAACACATCACTTCCCATAGGACATTTTCTCTCAAACAAAATGTGCTTGTGTGTCTCCATCCACCTTACTCACCGGATGTGACACCATGTGACTTCTGGCTCTCCCCCCAATGCTCATGAAAGGTAGACATTTTTGCAATTCAAGACTTTGAGGCAGCCACCACAGCACAGCTGAAGACATAAAAGCTGCTCCCAGAACTGCTTCAGAAAGTGGCAAGAAGGATGGGATAAGTGTGCTTGAAGTGAGAGGCAGTATTTTAAGAGGGGTTAATGGCAATATGTCCTTAATAGAATTTTTTAAAGTTAAGTATTCGGTGTATATTTTGATCATACCTCAAATGATCTTATTAATGTTATTAATAATTATTAGCCTGGGATTCTGTAAAGGGATTGACATTAGAGGGAATGTTGTACAAATCTGGGAGTAGCTATTTTATTAATACTTGGGTCTCCAGATGCAACTACCTTTTGATCACAGCCTTAAGTGCACTGATAAATTGATTAAAATGTCATAATAACTTTTAGAAAGAAATAATCTTCATGTGCTTTACAAATCTATTTTTTAAAGGCATTATCTTTCTTCAAAGAAAATCTTTACATAGAACTTTAATAGAATCTGCTGAATTGAGCCTCTGAGCTACTCTGGGAACTAGGACCCAACCTTACCTCCAATTGGCTTCCCCTTAAATGCTGACTCCCCACTTTGGCCAATGCCAAAGCACCTCTATAGCAACTTGAAGAACACTTAAAAAAATACTTGGAAAACTGCATACAGAAAACAAATGCCAACAAGTTTAGTTCAGTTCTGATTTCTATTACAAGTCATGTATTTCTGTAGCTCAGGTATATGCAAGATACTGGCTTTTCTCCCTTGAATTTTCCTATTGAATCTGGATTACTCATGATTTGAGCCATCTTCTTTCCACTCCATGATATCCCAGGTACAGGCAAGACAAGGAAAACTGACACAAGCTTCACAAACTCAGTTTTTTCTCTTGGAACTTTAGAAATGGAATACTAATCACAGTCACTCAATTTGAAAGATTACATAATTTTGAGACTGATTTCAGTATTTGAGTCCTCCTAGGATGGAGACACCTGCAAATCAATGACAAGACAGAGTGTTAGAAAGCAGAAGTGGAAAAGGAAGGAGGCTCTTGGAAGTAATGAGAGATGGATGTGGAGAGAGAAGAGAGGAAAATCTGCCTGGTTCATGCCTGATTCCTGGGCCAACAGTTCAGCATGAACTGTAACCAGGGCTTTGGGCTGTGAAACGTGCATTCCTTGTTACTTAAGAATAGGCTACATCAACTGACTTTCTATTATTTTATAAACATGCAAATAAGATAAACACAGCATATTATTTTAAATGAGTACATGGTATTTGTAAGAGAAAGCTGAGTGCTGAAATTGATTTAGGTCTCCCTTGTATCTCCTTTGGTTGTGAGCCAAGTTCACAGCGGGAGGAATGATAGTTAATTAAAAGACAAATAAATCAGCTTTGAGTGAAAATATTAGAAAAGCACTGGAGCTGAGTCAAGGTCATTTGGAGAACAAAAAGAGACTGTACCATAGTGAACTATCTTATTGCTTTTTTTGCCTTTTTAAACTCCTTTTCCCTTTCCCCAGACTAAGTCTCCAGAATGACTTATGAATGTTAGGAAATTACTTTTGTAATTAAAATAGATAAATATCATTGGGAACTTTCAAGAGAAATTTAAAAGCTGAAATAATGTATTTTGATAAGCACAAAATAAAAGATGTTTATAATTAAAGGCAAAATATACATTATCACAATCAAAAAGGAGATTTACTATAAGCTTCTAAATTCAAATATAAGTAATTTGCTTTGTCTCTCTCTCTCTCTTTTTTTTTTTTGGTGCCGGGGATCGAACTTGGGTCCTTCCGCTTACAAGGTAGGCAGCAGAACCACTGAGCTAAATCCCTGGCCCTGCTTTGTCTCTCTTACCTTTAAAAGAAAAAAGAAAAAAATGAAGAGCCCATTTTATTTCAATATGCACTTCAGTCTAAACTTTAATACTGTCTTCAAGAAAAGTTAAAAAGCCATCATTTTAAGAAAAAAAATGCTAATCACATAGGATGTGGTTTTTTAATGTTGAAAGAAGATTGTAAACATAAGTTGTATAAAGTTAGTTCTTATTATCTTTGTTTTCACTGACAGAAATGAATACATGCAATTGAACTAACTGAAGCTGAAATTATCTTCCAGTTCACTCTTAAACAATTAATATTGCTCCATCATTAAAGAAACATCTGTTTCTCAGGCTTCAAAATGAAGGCCTCAAAAGTACATGATGGAATAGAATTGATTCATGGTCAATCAAAACAGTAAAATATTGTAGAATTATAGTACACATAACTATGGTTTTTATATAGATTTTGTTTCACTTGAAATGGACCTCTGGATTTTCTGGAACAGTATTCATTTTAAGAAAGGTAACATTTCAGGGTATGGGCTCATCAGCTGTTTGTGAACTTGAAATTACAATATCTTCATCCTTGCCCAAATTTTTGTAGAGTTTCAATAAGATTTTACATTTACAAGAAATCTAGAGATAGGTGCTCGCTATTGTAGATCTGATGCCATTGGTGGCAACTTCAGGAAGAACTGTATCACTGAAACGTCAGCATCTCCTAAAGTCCAGCAGTGCATCATGCACAGTCATCGTCCAGAGAATTTATGTCATCAGCTGTCAGATTTAAAGGCTATAATGCAGTATATATTTTATACATGCTCACTAAAACCACTTACATTATTTAAAAATAATAACTTTTATATGGACTTTTCTTTAGAGTTATGAAGGCTGTTGCTCAATTGTTCCCCCAAACACACCCATCACATACAAATGTACATCTTTTTATACATGCTCAGAACTTTCTTCACCTCTGATGCACAATCTGAAAAGAAACCATGCCTTATCAGTGACAGAAAATGCAGGATTAGCTGACTACTGCTGTTATCCGCATATGTGCGTGAATAATGAAATGTGTGCATATTGTACTTGATTTTTTAAGGTATAAGTTATGTGTCACATATTTTATTTTTAAGATAGTAGTTTCTAGGTTCTTTTTTTATGTGTCACATATTTTTAAAAATCTATATTATTTCATTATTATTTGTCCAAACTTAAAAACAGTTAAAAACAAAAGCCTGGTGTAAATTGTTTTCTTTTCTTTTCTATAAAGGACATATATTGAAAGAAACAACTGTCAATTTTCCAGCATCCTTTAAAATTATAGTGTTTTAAGGTGCAAAATAATGCTCTACTATACCCTATAAGATAATTAGGAGTTATTGCTTTTTGTCTAAAGTAAATGTCAACCTCTGTTTAATAAAGTCACATGAACCATATGCTCACTTTCTGAGAGTATTAAGAAGAAAATGATCACTGGGGTGCCATTAGTAGTTTCACTGCTTAAATTCTTATAAAGTAAATTATATAATCAAAGACTGAGTAGCTGTATATGTCAAAGCACAAACCCTGCGAACTGTCCTGTAAAATAGCTGGAGTGATTTGATCCATGCTTAACGATGACTTTGTGAGTGTGGGACTCTGCTAAAAGCTCAGGGTGCTGATTTCCACATTCATGCTATGAGCCAAGCAAAACGATTCATTCACTGTTTAAAAATTATAAAATGCAAGAGTAGTACCTTTGAGCTGTATCTGTTGCATTTCTACTCAAGTTTCTAGGAAAAGTAAAAATGGTAAATACTATAATGAGAACAAGGAGTAAGTACAAATTAATGATTAAGATACTAGAGATAATTGTAGATTTCTTTTAGAAAAACATTGTAGGATATGATAACATTTTACTTCAGTCATAACTTGTTTATAAAGATTAATATTTATTTATATTTTAAAGGAGATGAGAGTCCGATTTTCCTAGACCTTTAATAAATCTTGAGTGCTCGTTTTATTCATATCTTTATCTGTTATCACCCCAAATCAATTAAAAACTCAGTCTGGTTCTAAAAGTTTCCAAAAGAGACTGCATCCCACATCTTAGTGACCAATTTCTTTGGGGAAAGGCCCTCAGTGTTGGGAAGTTCTCCCGGTGCCTCACTCTGTTTTTATTGGTTGCCCAGCTATTCATAATTCAGCTTTCAAAAGGCAGCCTCCCTAGGCACCATTCTTCTCCCTCAAAATGGTCACAAGTAATCTTAGCTCAACACAGTTATTCAAAGCCTGTGGCCTCCTTTCTGAGTTAGTCAGATCATCCAGGTCAGATTGTACTGTTCAGATTTCCTCCCCTTCTCCCTGTCCAAGGCAGAAGGTCTCCACGGATTCTGATCAGAATAGTTTTGAGACAACTCATAGGGCAGCCTTCTCCTCGGAGTGGCATTCAAGGCCCCTTGTTATCCCAAAGCCTTTCTATCCTGGTCCAAAGGACTCTGCTCCAGCCTCCTTCCACGCCACCCTTTGCTTCACTCCTGACCACCAGGTGCATTGCTTCAATACTGGTGTTGTAAAAATCTTGAGCAAAACTTAATGAAATGGGATTGGTGATGAGCTGAAAATAGCCAAAACAGCTTGTCCCCTTCTCCTAAAGCTTAATTATTCAAAATGGAAGGGGATCATTGTCACTGCAGAAAAGGCTCGGCTTTTATATGAGAGTGAGCTGCTGAAGAAGCCTACAGAGTATCTTTATTCCAAGCCTTTTAAATGCATTAGACACTCTTCCGTTTGGAGTGATTTAAGTAAACCCATGAGAGAGAAAAAAGCTGAACTTTGAAGCTAAGCTCAGTTATAGGAGCTTGAGGGTGATTAATGACTGTACCTAAATGGGACTGAAGCATCCAGATGGAAACACAGAGAGAAACTGAGTTAGTCTTTTACATGGTTTTATGTATAATCCTAAAGACCTTTATGTTTAACAGTTGAATGTATAGAATTATTTAAGTAAAATCTTATGAATGTTGACATGTTTCTATAGTATAAACATCCTCACAAAACAAATACCTTTTACTTTATCTCCATTTGGCACCAAATAACATACTATCAAATTTTAGTTATTAGAGAAGAGAAAAATGTGAATTAGTTAAAAATGCACTTAAATTGGTTTTGTTTTGTCTGAGCATAAAATAATAATGAAAAAAAGAATGAATAATAACAATGTAAAATACATTTTCTCTACGTATTTTTTTATTTCTTCCTTTTCATAAAATTAAGAAATTAAGACTTGTTTACCAAATCCACACTTATATAGCTCTGTGTTTTAAATTTAGGTATGTGTCTTGTGCCCTGGGCTGTCCATATGAGGGAAGCATTATGCCGCAAAAAGTGACTAAAGTAAGACATGTCTCCAAACTTTTTGGTTAATGGTAAAATAATGCATGTTGTTTTAAAAACTGTTTTTCTTAAGAAAGTATTTATTGACTCTGCAGAGCAAAGACTAAAGAGAGCCATGGAATGGAAAGTACTCCTGAAGATGTGTTTGGTCACTTGACACCGAACTCTTCAATATCCCCTGTGAATTTTCAAAGTGACAGTTGAGTCTTCCTATTTGGGTTCTTAAACTCTGGAGAGAAGAAAGGGCCCTGTTGTACTTATGCAAGGGTATAATACAGTGAGTGGCAGGTCACTCTCCATCAGAGGTCCCCACAGTCTGTGGCACATGCGTAGACTTTCCTTTGGGGGCCTGGGGTGCGGATCTTGTTTTCCCCCTTCACAGTGTGCACTCTGAGCACTCCCAGAGTGCGAAGGAACAGAACAAGAACTGCTACTCAGGCACCCAAGGTGAAGACTAAGTGTGTGCCACAAACTTCCCACACCTCTGGTGGAAGGTGTAAAGGCCACTTGCTGTGTTTAGCACATAAAATGGTTAGTGGTTAGGGGTTAGGGTTAGGGTTGCTGTTAGGGTTAACCCTAAACTTTCAGTTCATGTAAAGCCATTCCTACCTTCACACTCATTTGGGCTTTGGAAACTTACTGCAGACATTTTCCCTGAGAGCTGTATCTTCATCTGTTCTTTAAATAGGACCCTGGTACATGGAGGCAGCTGTGCTATGAAGAATGAAGCTTAGACTAGGTAGAACTTTCCTTGCATAGGACCCATCTAAGGTTCTGTTATTAACTTGAATCCACAAATGATACATTTTTCTCTTAAAGAATATCTATAAAAGGATATAAATTCAGGCCCCACATAACCTGAGTCCACCCCTGCCTAACCCCGAGTTCCTTGCTCTTCCACCTTTAGATCTCTTCCACCTCCTGTCTGGAGGACATACTCCATTTCCAACATGCCAGTTGGACTCATTAGATATTGAGGATCTGCAACCATTTTAAGAGAGGCCTTTGTGCTATTTTAATAGTTTTTGTGGTGCATTCACTCTTTCTCAAATGAATATTTTAATCAATATGTGACTACTGTTTTTAGCTCTCTAGTTTTCTCTTTTATTTTTTCCCCAGTGGTTTTACTTTCACATCACACTGTCTTTTTCATTTGACTTTTTCCCTGCCTGGAATTCTCTTTGCATTTCATATTCTGGCTGACTGAAACCTGATTATCTTTGTATTTGGTTCTTTCTATTTCTTTATCTATTCTTTATGGAATGCTCTTTCAGACCCTCCATTGTCACCCTCATCAAGTTCACTTTAATCTCAAATTGTCACTTAAGCCATTCCTGCTTAATTTCCACTGCTACGTGCTCCTGTTGCTTTGTTTCAGAATTCTTATTTATGCATTTCTCAGTGGGATTGACTAAAACCTGTCCTCATTTGACTCCAATCTGTAACAACATGAAACCTGTCCATATTTGCTTTTCTATTACATCTCAGCAACTAGTACTGTGCCTGGCATAAAAACGGGCCCTGGAGAAGTATGTGTTATATGCATGAATGAATGACTACTATAGGCTAGATTTTGTAAAAAGTAACTTTTATGCATTCTCAATTCAAATACACACCAGAGCATGTCATTAGCATTGTTTTGATTATCATTTTAAATGAAGGAATTAAAGCTTAGAAAACATAGCAAACGAGGATAGTGTGTTGCCTGTATTCTATAGATTATACACTTAAATAGGTTAACCTTCTCCCTAATATCTCCTGACTGGCATAGATGGGAGCCGAATCTAGGCCTCTCTGATCTTCCATCTTTGACAAAATCTCACTCAGCCTGCATGCACATTCGTCATCAGACTTAAAGAGAACTTGCAATTGACCTTGCACAAGTGCATTCATTAATGAGCTAGGAAAACTGGGCCAGGAATATTGATGGACTCTACCAATTACAAAAGTATTTAATGGTAGAGCTGAAACCATGACTGGTATTGCTCAACCTCTAATCCAACACCTACAGATGTAACACTTCTGAAGTAAGTCTATAATGCTGCTGTTTGATTAGTGTTGAGAAATGCAAGCCACCAGTATCTGAAATGAAAGCTTATAATATCGCAAGCAAACAGACAGATATTAAATAGATAAGACTCTGAGGTAAAATTGAATCTTTAGAGTGAGTGATTTCATTCTACATTTTATACAAGCTTAGGATTTAATGAACAAGGGAAAGGACTAGAAAATGAAAGTCTCTTCCATTGATAATTTAGGTATGATTATTACCTCTGGGTGACTCTTGTTGAGGAACAGGAGAATTGGAGTCTGTTCATGCCACTGTTTTATTAGCAGCTCAACCCTCTCAGCAGGTATCTAAGAGACTGTATGGCATGGGCCGCTATGAGATCTCTCTGGGAGACACAATTGGAGTGGGAACTCCAGGAAGCATGAAGAGAATGCTGGAGAGGGTCATGAAAGAAATCCCGCCAGCTGCACTTGCTGTTCACTGTCACGAAACATACGGACAAGCCCTGGCCAATATCCTTACTGCCCTGCAGGTATTTCATGTTGTTTATGTGGGACATGTTAGGGTGTGTATCCTTATTTAGCATATAAACATGTTGAGAACTTCAGTGGGACAATACTGATGAAATGTTATGAATATACTATTTAAGCATTATGTATTATATGATATATATTAAAATATCAACATGATATTAAATATTTTAGGCATTCAGGAAGTTTATTTCAAATTTTTTATGTTCTTAGGGTAACAGAAGTCTTTTACTAGTATTAATTTAATAAAAACTGTAATTCTCTTAATTTTAAAGTATTAATCCTAGTAGAGCTATGTCCACTTGGTTCAACCCACCGTGGTCTCAAACCTAAGTTGTTGGTTTTTAAAAATTCATTTATTGGTACATTTTAGGTATAAAATACGTTTCCATTTATCATTGGGTGCTTGTACTTGTACATAATGAATCTTAGTTCTTATTTTTTTCCTCATTACTTGTGTGTCCTTCACCCCGTCCACCCTTCCCTATTTACATGGACTTCATTTCCATTGTTTTTCCTTTCTCATACTTTTTCCTTTCCCTTCTTCCCTTTCCCCTTTACTTCTCACCAACCCTACACATTTGGACCTT